TGGAGGAGGGGGGAGCAGATGGGGGAGGGAGGGAGGGAGGGGTGAGGTGGAGATCTACTCGGCTCACAAGTTCTTTCCTCCTGCTGCGTGCTTATGTATAATGCATAGGTTTCTGTGCATATTTCAAGGGCCTTCTGGACTCAGAGTATATACACACAGTGGAAGGTACGCTCAGCTTACATTCCACAGCACTGTGTGTACGGTGTGTGTGTGTGTGTGTGTGTGAAAGTGTTTCACATTGTCTGCCAATTAGTGTAGGTGGCCCCCTAGAGGCAAAAGAAAGGAGGGAGATGGTGAGCCAGAGAAGTAACTTAGGTTGACAGAACAGGGCAGATGCTACAGAACAACAAGCAAAAGAAATGGAAACGTACCGTGTGTGAGGGCGAGAGACCCTGACCCTGAGCACACTGTAATGATCGCCTCCTGCAGGCAGCATGATGTCACTTCCGCTGCTGCGGAAGATGTGCTCTTTAGCTTGACGCAGATGAGCAACTGTACATCACCGTGTCCATCTGCCTGTAGTAAAACTGTGGGACAACGTTGAACCTGCTTCTCACCACCCAGGCACCAGTACCAGGGAGGAGTTGGTTGAAGGTGCTTTGGGAAGTGGTTCTATAGTGTAGCAGTGAGCACGCCTGCCTCGCAAGTAGAGAGTCTTGGGTTCGATTCCCACAGGTACCACATGCTTGATTGTTAATCCTCCTCCACTAAGTCGCTTTGAATGAAACCGGCTGCTAAATACGTAAATGTAAATGTAGAAAAAAAAGATTAGAATAAATACTTTTTTTTTTAAAGAAAGAAAATCTGAAATGCAATTAAATTCTGATGTTTCCATACATCCTGGAAAACCTGGACCAATATCCAATGATGGAAAACAGAAAAAAAACAAATCACAGGTCCAGGAAATTCTCAAATGCTACATGTAGCATGTCCGCTATCTTACTACTTGGAATGGTTATAGTTGGCTCAGCGCCCCACATGTTGATACCAGTCAGTTGGATTTGAATCTCACCTCTGGCTGATGATGTGGCTCAGTGTAGGTCATGTAGAGAAGACCACTTTTCAGGGCATTTGGAGGATGGAGATTAGTGTTAGTGCAGTGACCTGATCACACCTCCATGATGATGTGGAAGCTGGAAAGGTCCTGGAAAGGTCCTGGAAAGGTCCTGGAAAATACATTGAAGAAAAGAGTTGGATCCCTGTGTTGGCCAAGTCCTCCATCCACGTAGACATCGTCTCGTATTCAGTAAAAACCACATTCACCGCTGGGGTCAGAGTTATTGTTTCCTTTTTCACAACCGAGACATCACCTTTGCAATTGTTCCCTGGCATTAAATGTCAATGTGCAAGGAAATGTTGCTGTTAAATTCCTTCAAATATAAATCTGTAGCTGAATGATCTGAATGATCCTTTGTTTATTCTGACACTGTGTTTTAATTATTCCCAGTGTATAATTGAGTCATAATTCAATGACATGTGCAGTTATGTTGATATAGACCTCTAATATAGACCTCTAATATAGACCTCTAATATAGACCTCTAACATAGACCTCTAACATAGACCTCTAACATAGACCTCTAACATAGACCTCTAACATAGACCTCTAACATAGACCTCTAACATAGACCTCTAACATAGACCTCTAACATAGACCTCTAACATAGACCTCTAACATAGACCTCTAACATAGACCTCTAACATAGACCTCTAACATAGACCTCTAACATAGACCTCTAACATAGACCTCTAACATAGACCTCTAACATAGACCTCTAACATAGACCTCTAACATAGACCTCTAACATAGACCTCTAACATAGACCTCTAACATAGACCTCTAACATAGACCTCTAACATAGACCTCTAACATAGACCTCTAACATAGACCTCTAACATAGACCTCTAACATAGACCTCTAACATAGACCTCTAACATAGACCTCTAACATAGACCTCTAACATAGACCTCTAACATAGACCTCTAACATAGACCTCTAACATAGACCTCTAACATAGACCTCTAACATAGACCTCTAACATAGACCTCTAATATAGACCTCTAACATAGACCTCTAATAAAGACCTCTAATATAGACCTCTAATATAGACCTCTGATGTTTGACACCCCTGATGTTTGACACCCCTGATGTCAACGCCGACAAGGTGAGCTTAGTGGACAGTGTTTTGTTTTTTTTTAATAATAGTAAATGAACAACTTTGATGCAAGAATAAGTTGACGACTAATTATTAACAAATTTCCAAAATATTTTATTACCTTAATTTTCTTCATTATTGGTAAACTGGGTGTACAAGTCACGAACATGAAAGTCGATGAAGTAAATGTTCCTTGAATGTTTTTTTTTGAGGTCGTTGTGTAAAAATTTCTGATTGGAGCTGTAACAAAGTCCTCCATTTTTGACATCCTAAACCTACGGTGTTTTTTTTCTTAATTCTATTCTTGTGTGACATGCACCGTGTGTGTGTGTGTGTGTGTGTGTGTGTGTGTGTGTTCATGGCTGACAGAATGACTCATGCTGCAGTGTGACTGCACCTCACACCCTCTACTTTTAACACATGTACAAACACACACTCGGATTGAGGCAATTAGTGACGCTGCATTAAAATACTCTCACAGTCAAATTGTCTCCATTTCCTCTCAACTGCTTTTGTTGCTTATTTTGACTTTTTTTTTTATTATTCAATTACTCTAGACCAGGCGTGGGCAAACTTTTTGACTCCCGGGCCACAATGGGTCCTAAAATTTGACACGGGGGCCGGGTCAGGAGCAGATAGACGGAGCATTTGTGTGAAATTAATAGTATAATTTGGACAAGTTTGGCAAATCGGCCACAGCTGGACCTCGGGCCGTAGTTACCTACCTCCCTGGTAGTTGCTGTGTCCTGCAACGCCTGACATGTGCCTTCTTGGCTCTGTGTTTCAACATACCAAATTAGATAGGGCGCCATCAAACATTTTCAGGTCCAATACCGATACTGCAATTAGGAGTATTTGTCGATACCAACATCACTCCGATACCTCCTGCTCTCCTCCAGGATGCCGTGGCTGAGGCATGTAGTGCAAAGTTAAGTTGAGCATTTTGGCTTAAGTATCAGTTCTAAATACTTCATAGAAAACGGACTCCTTTCCCTAAGGTCAGCCAAGATCTCCACGTACAGATGACCAATTCTTTGGAAAGCATATCTATATATAAAAACAAAAACAAAAAACGGGAAAAAACGGCTGCATGTATCATTTATTATATTTTAAATATTTAATATTTAAATTAAATATTTATTATTTATAAAAACAAAAACAAAAAACGGTTGATATCGTTAAGTGTTCGTACAATATCGCCATATCGTATTTTGGCCAAAGGTTAATATCGGTTGATATCCCTAGTTTTAATTGCCTTTGCAGTTTTGGGATTCCATTTGATCATTTCCACAGTTGAAGAAACTTCACCCGTCATCATACAGTACTGGCTTCACACAGTTACATAATGCATCCATGAGGAGCTACATTTCTCTGGGATAAAAGTTTAGGCCTCAGTGTTTATGGAGCACGGATTTAGGCCGTCGTCTCAGACGGGAAGGGAAATGTGACGTGCTGCTATTGTTGACAAGCACTTGATTTAAAACTGTTCAACCTGTCCCACCAGTCAGTCAGCTGTTAACGTAACCCTGTGGAACTTTGGTTGAACCATCTCAGGGAGTGTTACGTGAAGGTCTCTTCCACGCCATGAGCTACCGCCTTGTTTTCACATAACGTTCTTTGTTTGTATCTCAACTTCTCTCGGTGACAGTCTTTGAAGAGTTTTCCAGTTGCCTGTGGGAGACAGAGTGTCTGCCGTGCTGGGTTCATATCGGTACACTAGCCAAGTGGATCATCCTTCAGCTCCAGGGCAACATTTTGTCCCCCACGGTTTGTAGACTTACTTCAGAGGCATTAAACTGAAGTCACCATTGCTGCCACTGCTGTGTGCAGCACAGCAACTGGTATTTTTCCCCACAATGATAATGATACTTTGTTCAATTCAAAGTATCACAGCTTAATTGAAACGCTGCTGCAGATCCGGGCGTTGACTGAGGCTTCTGCGCGTTAAGGTTTGTGTGTGAAAACAAGTGGGCGTTAATTTACTTCGACCGATCTTTGTTAGGCACGTTCCTAACTCACTGAAGAAGCTGCGCTCTGAGCCTGTTGTCATTCCCAAATGAAATGACATTTTTCTTCAGTTTTTCCACTGTTGGGTGTAACGTAGGGAATCAGAAGAAGTGATGAAGACCAGGGCTTTTCAGATTGGGTGAGTGTGAGCCTCCCCTGTAGAGGTGAGGACAGCCCAGTCTCTCTCCCTTCCCCAAAATCCTGTCACCACTTTTTAAAGAGAGCATTCAAAAACGATTCTTTACGACAGCAAATAATTTCACTTCATGCAGGACTCCTTTGCGCCCCCTGGGGGAGGCGTGCCTCACCTATTGAAAACTGCTGATGTAGACCTAGCTGTCTGCCCAGTACTACATACTATATACTCAGTGTATTCTACCAGCTAAGAGACCTTGGTTTTTATTTATTTTCTCTCCCTTTCTTTCTTTGTCATGTCTGGTGTTTTACTCGGCCAATAAAGACAAAAGTGTAAACATTATTCTCAACGTACCGTATAAACTCACATAAGTCTTTACGCTTGTTTATTTCAATGGAATTTTGTTGCCAATCAATCATCGCTGCAATTTTTCCTCTTTTTTTTTTTTTTTTTTTTTTGGGAGGGGGCGGGTGCTGACGGGGAGTGGGTCACTTATCTTGTTCTAAATCTTTTTCCTGCTTCGACCACATCCTTCTAATGTGAGTGAGATTTAAAAAACATTTCACCCTCCAATAAAACAACGTGGTTTGGATGGACAACGACGGCGACATCCACGGTCAGTCATCACGGTGTGCTGTTCACATTCTGAATTACTGAAGATCCTCGCCAAAATGGCAAATGAGGTCATCAGTACCAGTGGTTACCTTTGTAGACTAGGGGTGTAAGGAAATATCCATCCACACGATACCGTATCAATATCCTACAGCACTTACCTAACAATTAACAGTCAAATGTTAATGGCTTTGGTTCATTTTTGTGTCACATTTCAACCTCCGGCCGCTGGTTCTTTGTATAGAGACTACATATGTTTGCAAATATTGGAGACTTTGAGTCAAACCATCTTAGGTTTATCTATAAAATCCTGAAAATTCTTCAGGTTCTTCCCTCCGTTCCAGTGTTAGTAAGCTGATGTTACGATGGAACAGCAGCAGAGTCTCAGACGAGGATCACACTGGGACTACAACCAAATTGTTTTTTATATCATGGCGCCCATAGATAATAATTTGAGAAACACTGTTTTTAAACCCATCAGGCCATCATGCATCACTTAACTTCCTGAACCACCAGGCCACCACTGCCCCGCTAAATCGGTACCGGAATTGAAGTGTTTGGACAATATCGGTCAGCAAAAAGTTAGTACATGGCACATCCCTAATTTGAAGACCTAAAACTGTAGCCTGATGCGGGCTAACATTAGAACTTCATCACATCAGCCGTGCTGCATTGTTCCGTAAAGTCTGAGCTGAAGTTCACTTCCCTGGCTTCATGTGTTTTTGGGCTTTTTTATTTTCTCTCTGGCTCGTGGAGGTACTTCTCTGCACCTCCCATGGCTCTCGGCTCTCTCCCCCTCATCTCCAGCTCCACACTCTGCTACACTCTGCTCCTTTTTTCTCCTTCTCTCAGCTCTTTTGGCCCAAAGCTTCTGCTCTTTTTTGTTCCTTCTTCCGCTGTGGCCAACTTTGACTTGTGTTTGTGTGTTTTTACTGCATGCAGTCTAGATATTTTCTGAGCAGATGCTGCTTGTGCTTGATTGATAGTTCCAGTTTGTCGGTGCGTGTGTGCTGTAGCGTTCTCCTGTCGAGACCCTGCCTTTACCCCTACAGACTGTCCTCAGTTCTCATGACTCTCCCAGTGTCCCACCCTCTCACCAACACAGACAAACACACACTGCTGCACCTGTCTTCCAGTGCCCTGTGGCAGGGCAGCACTGCACTGTACAGTACTGTAGGCTGTGTGTGTATGTGTGTGTGTGTGTGTGTGTGTGTGTGTGTGTGTGTGAGTGACTGCAGCTGCTTTTGGCCATCCAGGCTGCCTCCTCGTTTTCAGCTTCATTTCCCCCCGTAATGAAGATTCAGAGGCAGCGCA